GCCATCTGCTGGCGAAGATGGCACTCACCTGCACTCCGGCTCGATAGTTGTGCGCATTCATTAGGCCCAGCATCAGCTGCATCACCTCTTTTCGCGTCAGTCCTTCGGAGGCGGATCCCAACTCGTCGGCGCTGGTCGGTCCCACGAGGGACTCACTTCGGCCACCCTCGTTTCGTGAGTCGTCGCTTTCGCCGGACTCCGTCTCGGGCCCCATCTGGACGCCAACAGCGGCGTCGGAGGAGGCGTAGGTCGTCTCTGTCTGTCGTCTGTCACTCGACCTGGCCATGCCTCCGAGACCGGCGGAAGAGGCTGGGCTCGAGTTTTGGCGTCGTTGGCGTTTTCCGGTGCCCAGGTTGTGCCGGCGAATGCGTCCACTGGGCCGATGAAAGCCGAGGAAGGCCTTTGCATAGGCTTTGGCGATTTTGACGTTGTCAGAGCAACCGGACCAATAGAACTGATTGGCTGCAACGTTATTATTATTATTGTTATTATTATTGGGATTGTTATTATTTTTATTATTACTTTTTTTTATAAAGTTTGCACCAGCACCCTCGGCACTCCTGGGTACATGAGTGCCGGAAATGTCACCAAGTCTGCTCGAATAGCCGGACTGCTGACCGAGCTTGGGACGATAGTTTGTGTTTCCACTCGCCTGACTGTGGATGAGTCCGAATAGTGTCGCGGCTGTCAGAGGATCATCGCCTAGATTGTTGGTTTTAGACAAAAGTAGATAAAATTAGAGAAGAAGCATGCTAGACATGTAAACATTGGCATCCTTTATCAGTTCCTTGCGGAGAAGGGAGCGGATGAGGTTCACCTTTCTCTGAGTTCCTGCTCGAATGACGCGATTCCGAGGCACCAGTAGATACAGAATAAGAGAAAAGTAGTCCAGCCAACAAGCTGTGGAAGGCCTCCCAAAACTTTCGTCTGCAAGTGACCTATACATAATGGTTTCAGGATGCACTGCGTCAAAGAGGGCCTACTTTATTAAATAATTTGACGGCTAAGATCATCTTTTTGGAAATAAAACCAAATAAAAAGATAACTTTTGCAAGGGTGACTATGAGGAATAAAAAAATAAATAAACTATGAAGGTAGAACTACGATTTAATGGAGGTATTGGGTTCCAATAACCAGAATAATTATTTAGAGTATCTTCATTGTGTAGATGAAATTAAAGTGTGATATGCTTTCACTGGGTCTTTGTATGCAATTTGTACATTAAAGGGGACTTTTGAAAACACAGCTCGTAGTTCACCATCCGTCATCGTCGCCATTTTTCCTCCCAATGTCTGGCCATTCACCGGGCACCTTTCTAAACCATTCTTCGGCACCACAGAAGCATAATTGTGTAATTGTCGCCCTGACAACAAGACCAAGTCTCGACAACGAGGTCAACCCTCTTCTTTGAAGGATTATAGACTATAATTTTCGTGTGTTTATCGTCAGCCGCCAACCCTGATGTGAAACCGGTATATGCGAGTCCACTCGTCTTATTTATAGGCTTGCCACATTGGCGTTCCGTTATTTGGCCATTTTCTGGGTATATTCCAAGTGGTTTTGTAAGCACCATCTTTTATTAGGACCATCCTCATCACCGAGTCCCGACTATACAAATCGGATACGTAGAATTCCAATTACTTTTAATGTTCAAGATTTGAAAATATCATATCTTCTATTATCATGTGCTTATCTTCCACAACCAACCCTAATCTGAGACTATTGCTGAAGGACTATATTATATTGACCACAAACAAATTAGTATATAAATTTAACCCATTTAAACTATATTTTTCGATTTAAGTACTGTTTTACGTGTCTACCAGTAAATCGGTAATATGAGATGTATTCACCCAATTTCGTTTAAGGTGATGAAGGACTGATAGAAGTAGAATTTTCCCATTAATGATATGAGTTGGGCTGACGTTTCCATTGAATTTCACATAGCCTTGCTTTTCCAAAAGTTGTTCTCTGACACGAAAAACAATACTTAATTCGAAAAATAAAGTATATTAGTCGATTTTGATAGCATCGACAATTCCACCAAATGTATATAATATGGCAAAACGGCCTGGCCTTCCTTGAAAATTCACATTTGCCCTGTCATGGTTCGACTCCCACTGAGGGTGTTGATAAGACCGATGCAAGGTGCCTGGATGAGAACAACTTTTGGGAAAGCAAGACTATGTGAAATTCAATAGAAACGTCGGCTCAACTCATATCATTGTGGGAAAATTCTTCTTCTACCAGTCCTTCATCACCTTAAACGA